GATGTCATGAATTGGATTCTTACTGAAGGTCATATATTTGGTTTTTTTGACGTTCATCCTTGTGCCGTAGTTATTACATATCTCATTCATACTTTCAACTGTTGTAGATTTTCCACTGTTTTGCCATTATCACAGTATCCTCAGCATATCCAATGTTATTGATAACTTCTCCATCGACTATTATCCCTTCGTTTGCATGTGAGAGAGCTTCTTGGCATATTTGTCCGCTATAGATAATAAACAAAAGCGGTGACAATAAACAACCCTGTCGTACTCCTCTATACGTATTTCTATTTCGTCCGATGTTTGGTCTTCTACCTTTATATTAGCTCGCTGATTCCAGTACAGATTTAATATTATTTGCATGTCTCTGGTGTCGATGTTCTTTCTTTCTTCCAAAATTTCTTTGAGTTGATTATGGCGTACTTTGTTAAAGACCTTTTCAATGTCTATAAACCAGGCATGCACCTTTTGGTTAATATCTAGACATCTCTGTGTTAGGACATTTAAGGAAAAGAGAGCTTCTCTTGTACCTAATCCTTTTTTGAATCCCATCTGTGTATCGTTATTATCGATATCTAACTTTTGATAGATTCGGTTGTGGATGACTCTAAGAAATCCACAAGGTATCTACGTTCCTTTATTTGGCTGTATACCGTATAATAAAAAAATTATTAAAAATCCTTTGTAAAAGGAATATATTAAGAACACAAACGGGCTAAGTTAGACAGACAAAACGTTTTCGGAATCCATATTCCATCATTAGTGTCCTAGAAAATATGTAACCACTTAACTAAAAAGAACATAGGTTTAAAACCTAGTCAAAATTTCAAATATAACCTTAGTTAAAATTTTAAACCCATGTTCTTTTTAATTAATTGTTTACATATTTTCTAGGCATTAATTCAGCATTAATTAAAATTAAATTAAAATTACTGGAATTAATGCTGAAAGAACTTCATGAAAAATCACTGCAAAAAGGCCTAAAAATTAACTTCAACAAAACAAAAGTAATGACAAACACGGAAGACCAAGAGGCAATAAAAATACAAACAGAAAAAATAGAACAGGTAAATGAGTATATCTATTTAGGACAAGCAATCAAAGCTAACAGAGAAAATCAAACAGCCGAAATATCGAGACGAGTAAGAATGGGATGGACAGCGTTCGGTAAACTGTCTTACGTTCTAAAAAATCAAACAGTCCCTCTATACTTACGAAGCAAGGTATATAACTCCTGTATAATACCGGTGCTCACCTACGGAGCACAGACATGGACATTTACAAAGGCAAATTTGGATAGGATAAGAAAGGCACAAAGAGCGATGGAGAGACAAATGTTGGGTATATCACTTAAAGATAGAAAACGTAACCAGTGGATTGGAACCAGAACAAAGACAGTGGACGCGATAGAACAAGCAGCAAAACTGAAATGGAAATGGGCTGGACACAATGAGCGTCTCCAAGACGGACGATGAAACAATGCCATCGGAAAGTGGCGTCCATACAATGCCAAGAGATCAAGAGGCAGACCACAGATGAGGTGGAAAGATGACATCAGGAAACAAGGAGGTCCCACATGGCAGAGAACAGCTCAAGATGGGGAAAGATGGAGAGAACTGGGGAAGACCTATATCCAACAATGGAAGGATAGAGAATAGGTTCAAAAAAAATATTTTCTAGGACACTGATGATGGAATATGGATTCCGAAAACGTTTTGTCTGTCTAACTTAGCCCGTTTGGGTTCTTAAATATATACCTTCGACACATGATTTTTAATCAATTTTCTAAGAAATATCTTAAGCAGGTGACTCATCAAGGAGATTCTTTGATAATCTGAACATTGTATTGCCGTAGTTTTCTTCGGTATGGTGACAAAACCTAGACAGCAACCATTGTTGAGGTATTATACCAGTACTGTATATTGTATTGAATATATGTAATATTATGGTTACGGATTTATCATTCAAAAGCTTCAACAGTTCTAAATTTCATCAGGTCCATTTGCTTTTCCATCTTTAGCGTTTCTTATGGCGTATTCTACTTCTACTTTCAATATGTCTGGCCCAGTTGCATTTATTATCTGAGTTAAGTTGTTTCTATCGTCTTCAATTAATTCACTCAGGTATTCAGTCCATCTTTTTATTTTATTCTCTAGATTTACAATAAGATTTCCATCTTTGTCTTTAAGTTTTCCTATTTGGCATTTCTTAATGCTTCCTGTTATCTCTTTTACTTTTTTCTGTATATTGAAGGCATCGTCCTTTTTCAAATAGGTTTCCATTTCTTCACACTGTTCTCTAATCCAGTCCTCTTTGGCTTCTTTTATTCTCTTTTTTATGTGTTTATTTATTTCTTTGTATTTGTCTGGGTAATTCTTCATTTTTCGTCTTTGTTCCATCAAGTCTAGTAGATCTTGTGTCATCCACCCCTTATTCTTTGTTATTGTTTTTGTAACATGTTTCTGTGTTGCTGTTTGTATAGCTGTATTTATGTACTTTAATTTTTGGTTAACATTATTTGTATCGTTAATTTGTTGCTGCACTGAACGGAGGTTTGCATTTATTTTTTCTCCTGTTTCTTGTCGTATATTTTTGTTTCTAAGTTTATTTAAATCTAGTGCCTTTCTGTGTGGTCTTCTAATCTTTTTTGGTCTCGACTCTATCACAGTAACTACCAGATTACGATCTGAGCCTATACTAGCTCCTGGGTACGTCTGAGTACATTTAACAGCATTACGATACCTCCTTGCTATAATGATGTAGTCTATTTGATTTCTCACTATTTTTTCTATGGTATATTGTGGAGATGTCCATGTATATAACCGTCGAGGAGGTAATTTAAAAAAGGTATTTGTTATTACAAAGTCTTCACTTTGGCAAAATTGATTTAATCGATCTCCCCTGTCATTTCTGTTTCCAAGCCCATATTTTCCTACTTGTTCTCCTACCTAACCTTGACCAACCTTGGCGTTAAGCTCGCCCATTATTATGTTAATTTGTTGTTTTTTGATTGTTTTCAGTATTTATTCTAAATCGTTGTAGAATTGTTCTATTTCATTGTCATCTTTATCTGCTGTTGGTGCATAGACTTAAATAAGATTTATTATGGTATGTCTTTCTTTAATTTCTATCAATATTAACCGCTCTGAATAAGGAGTACAGGTAATCAGAAAACTTTTCCATTGATTTGAAATGATGATTCCAACTCCGTAACAATTTGCGTTGTTGTCGATTCCGGAGTAATAAAATACGCCATCATTTCGTGTTGAACATTCTCTAGATCCTGGCCATTGGGTATCGCTGATTCCTCGAACATCGATGTTTAGTCTATTTATTTCTTGTTTAACATCATCCAGTTTCCCTGCAGAGAACAAACTTTTAACATTCCACGTTGTAACTCTTAAAATTGTTGGTTTCTGCGCTCTTGTACAAGGATTTCGCATGTTTACCACCAAGTGAGCCTTGCAGTCTTATATTTTTCTCACTCTGCCGGACCTTGGTATGATATTCCCATGATCAGTAGGGTTTCCAGTATTTTGTTGTACGCCATAATGACTTAACTAGGGGCACTCTACGAGTCTTTAATACAGTGGTTCTCCGTTGCCTTCTGCATCCTTCCGCCGTTGACCATCCTTCGTTTATCCGCCTTCGAGACCGATTTCTCGATCTCTGGACAAAAGGCCCTTCCACATATTAGCTCCTCCGCCCGAAGCGGTTGGCCAGTAAATGGTGGGATTGCTTATACTGTTAATCATTCGGTGAATTACCTGTTGGTCCACGGGAGGTATTTTATTTCACTCCTTCCCAGCAGTAAACCGGGTCGGGCATTCCCCCATCCGCCACCTGGGGACGCGCTCTGTATTGATTACAGGTTCCCCCAAAAGGAACCTGTAACCCTTATGTTTTATGATTATGATACCCCTAATAAATATCATAAATATTCAGTTCATAAATGTTAAGTCTGGTTTTCTGTCCTTGAACATTCGTAACATGTCTGTTTTCAAGGATAGGGTTGTTAGCCCTAGGTCTAACCCCCTTTTTGGAGGACCATTTCTCCCTTCCTTGTCGGCCATGATCCTACTTTCCACTGGTGTTGGTTACCCAATCTCCGGTAGGGTTGCTTAGGTTTGCCAGGGTCCACCCGTGTGATTAAGTCACACTTTTTGGAGGTGAGGATAGGAATTAAGTAGGAGTAGCTAGAGATATTATCAGGAAGCAACACTTCATATTGCGCATAACTACTCCTTTGAATCTCAGATGTTCTGTATGCCAATGGGAAAACAAAAAAGATTTAATGGACTTACTTAAGTTTATTCCGCCAAGTGTCACAGCTTTTATTCTGGAATGAAAGATAGTTTCAAAGCATTGGATGAGGGCTTAGAATGAAAATTAAAAGTACGCACTAAAATATGTTTTTAGCTAAAATGTTAAATATTTTTTTTATCTTAATTTTTGTGTTGGGCAATTTACCTGTTTTATTTTTGTTTATAGAAAATATATCTAAATATAGCTTAACACGTAAGTTACTTAAAGAAATATGTTTTTTGTAACGGCAAATGTGTATAATTTTTGAACACAGAAATTAGAATAGTAAAACATAGGTGAGATTGTTTTAAGACTTTTTCTTAAAAAAAATAAAATGTTACAAATGTTACAATAAAATTTTTTTCATCATAAAAATTGGATTTGAAGTTAACTTTGACATCATTTATCACAATAACTTCACTTTGTGACTTACTCATATTTGCCTCTAAGCTACTTAATTTACATCGGTATATATTTAAATAACCCTCGTAAGCTAGCATCAAATAAGCATGTTTTGTAGGATAAACCGAAAAAAATTTAATTAATTGTTATCCACAAGACAAGTGATAAGCGTCATTACACAAGTTTAACTGTAACCTATAATTTATATACAACTTATTACCAAATTTGATAACCTTTTATTTACACATCATACCAATGATTTTGGTTTAAGTATTTCAATAAAATATTTCAAACAATGAAGCTCTTATTTTTCGTGGTATTTCTAGGTATTTTATGTGAGTATGTAAGTACTGATTTATTCATTATATTATTATATTAGGGTGATTTATCACTGTATCCCTGTATTTCTTTTTGTAATAAAAAAGATCATAAATCGTCCACTAATTTAGCTAACATATATACAACATACACACATATACAAATATATATATATATATATATATATATATATATATATATATATATAATATATACATACATTTATATAAATATATATATATATATATATATATATATATATAATATATACATACATATATATAAATATATATATATATATATATATATATATATATATATATATATATATATATATATTTAAAATCGTTTATAACGAACTTCAGGGGACTGGTGCTTCTTGTACGTTGTAGCCAGTGTTCTCTGTAAGCGGTTCTATTGGTTATAATGAACAAGTTACTATAAACGATATTACACTGGTAGGAACAGTTAGTACGTTATACCTAGGTTTATGACGCAAAAATGTGTTACTTTATCTATACTTATAATATGTTATAACAACATTATTATACATAATATTTAACATATGTGTCTATTGTACTTAAATCTAAATATGTACATACATAATATATATATATATATATATATATATATATATATATAATATGTATTGAAGTAAGTATAAGTAGTCAATAAAGTATAATCATAATATAACAGTTTCTCAAAATCTTCCTTCTTCTTCAAGTTCCACTTCTATCGGAGATTGGAAATCATTCTGGCAATTTTAATTTTATTGGTTACTCGCCTGAATAGTTCAATTAAACTGCATCCAAGCCATTCACGGAGATTGCGTAGCCACGAGATTTTACGTCTTCCTACGTTTCTTCTACCTTTGATTTTACCCTGCATTATATTCCTTAGTAGTTCGTACTTTTCACCTCTCATTATGTGCCCCAAGTATTCCAATTTTCTAATTTTTATGGAATTTTAAACTTCACATTGTTTTCCTATTTGTTCGAGAACTTGTTCGTTTGTTTTGCGATCCATCCATAATATTTTTAAAATACGTCGGTAACATCACATTTCGAATGCTTCTAGGTTTCAAAATCTTTGTATCATAAAAATGTAAGCATACATATACTATTTATTTTTAAAAAGACAACGAGAAATACATACATTTATGTATTACAAAATATATAAATACAACATTTTACCTAAATATTTAATGAAAAAAGTCTGTAATTTTTGTTTGTCGCCTTCCTTGTACTTCTGAAAACAACATTTTTTAAATTGATGTGGAAACAATCGATAATAATTCTTTCAACTTTGTCAAGTTTTAGAAGTCTGAATAAATGCTCTTATGGTGAAACAAGCAGGATACGCTTTAGCAACAGTAGGAATTTTGCAGAAATTTTTCAATTCTTCATCAGTCTCATCAGTACTTTGTTTGTCACTAGTTTGGTGACTCAGTACGATGTCAATATCTGACAGTTCTTCGCTCGTGCTTTCGTCATCCACTTGTACATAGTCATCTGCAGAGCAGTCAGAACCGAGAAGGGAAACGGCATCTTAAAAATGTGTTAGTGCAATATCGTTGTATGCGATTTCTGATTGTTGTAAATCGTTAGTTAGGTCGGAAAAACGAAAACAGTCATTGCTCTCTCTATTTTCGATGATTTTGTACACCAATTGTTTCCGAAAGCATGCTTTAAGACTTTCTATAAATCCGTGGCCCATGGGCTGCAGTACGAACTTACAATTTGGAGGCAGAAAAACGAGGTTAATTTGTTTTAACCTGTCAACTGGGGGGAGGGACGGACAGTTGTCGACAATTAAAATTATGGGTTACTTTTGTTGTAAAAGTTCACTGTCCCATGTTATTAAAGTATTTTTAAAAATAGCCGACGTCATCCACGCTTTTTTTATTGAAATTATAATCAACAGGGAGATTTTCACGTTTTTAAAAATCAGCGCGGTATTTTACTTTTTCCTATTGCCAAAATCTTTTTTATGGAACCGGACATGCTGGCTGCAACAAGAACTGTAACTAGCTTTTTTGAAAGTTTACTACACTTAAGTTTTACGAGTTGAAAAATTACTTTAAAAAAAAACAATTTTATTAACAAGGACTAAATACAAGGATAATGACTATACATAATCTTAAGCAAAAGTGATTTATGTTTACATTTACGTCTATTTATATGTTTTTACTAATCTAATGTACATAAAGAATGTTTATGATAGAAAGTACAATGATTACTATAATGACACTATTAACCACATTTTTAGATACATAAGTCGGAACATTTCTCCCCGTTAAACTTTAACGTGTGATCAGGTGTCAGTCTAAAAAATAAATCCATCCCGTCAGCATTAAAAATTTCATCATCGCTATAGCCCGACCTGAGTGTAGGCCACACATTTTTAACCCAGTCATTTGTAATTGGTCTGTCAACAACTGCTGACTCATCCGAAATTTTTCCATAGACAATATTGCGGCGAGCTCGGAAACGTTGAACTCAGGAAGCATTACACTTAAAATCCTTCTTCAAAATCACAGCGAAAGCGTTATACTTTACCTGAAGCATCAGCCCACCCACGGGTACATTGTTTGCACGTTGTTGTTTGAACCAATCGAGCAAAGTACTTTCAATGTCACTGTGATTTGATAACCGAACGCGTTTTTCTTTTTCACACTTATTAAATGGCATAATAATTTTCTCTCGCCGTTTCATCATTCCAGCAATTGTTGAGCGTAACGTTTTAAATTCCCGGGCAATCAAACTCGCGGAATCACCGGAATCGACTCGGCAAATTATTTCAAACTATTCCTCAATAGTAAATTGTTTTCTATGAAGGCTAGATATAACTGAATTTAAATTCAGAAACTCTTGTCTTGGGCTAAACGGTGTAATATAAACAAAATTTTGTCTAAATGTCTAAAGGAGAAGTAACCAAGTGTAGATGCTTACCCAGATGTACTATAACCATAAATTAATAAATCCTTACTTCTCATTTCGTGGTACTAAATATCGTTAAGACCTGTGAGAAATACAACACTACAATGTCTATTTTCATAACTTTACAGGATAGCCCTCTTAAACCTACCTATTAAAATGTGGAAACAATATTATATGGAACATTGTATCTACTGTCATTTACATCATGAATTGGTTATAATTATTTATTATTTATTTATTCTACAATGTGTAAAAATGTCATAATTGAAAAGAATGGATGTTGTATCATCTGGAGTATAGATATGTACTTAAAATTGTACGCTGTAACCAATATTTTGACTGCTAGTTTTCCAAGAAATGCGTTTGATCTAACCGATTTGTTCATTATAAGCAATATAAAGGCGTTATTTGTAAGTCATTTCATGGGAAATACTATTTTGTTTATTATACCCGATTGTACGTTACAGCCGGTGTCGTTCTAAATGATTTTGACTGTTAACTGTAAACTATTATATATATATATATATATATATATATATATATATATATATATATATATATATTATATATATATATATATATATGTATATATATATATTTATATATATATATATATATATATATATATTATATATATATATATATATATATATAAAAGGTTATGGTCGGTATGGTAAAATTTAACAGGATATCTAACGCAGATATAAAATCATATTTTCAGCGAATAGACAAAGATAACAATCATAATTTCCCCTTGGTCTCCCCTCCATAAATATTTTTAACACTCATTGCTCATTCGTGAGACGAATAGTTCCGATCAGAGATATTTTACATATTCTCTGGTTCCGATCCTAATATACCTAAAAAACTAGAGGTGGATGCTCTCGTTTTTTAAATTTTTATCGGAACCGTTTTTCGTAAACAGTAACTAGTTTATTGTTTACCAGTATTCAAATTAGCGAGTATACAATCGTATTGGCTATTACCATTTATGTGTATAAGTATTGAAGTGAAAGAACCTAACGAAGGATATATTTCTTATAACTTGAAAAATAAATTAAACAATACAAATAGTACTTACATTTACATTACACAATATTAAATCGCGAATCGTCTAAATTGACATTTAAAAACAAGTTTTTCCACTTTTCTTGTTAATTGTGTTCTTCTTTTATTTAAAATTAAACCAGATTTTAAACATGTGTTCACAAGGAAAAGATTTTGTTACAATACTACAATATTTTATGAATATAGTGGTTAAGTTAGGATATACATGACGATGGTTTTTCCACCACGGTAATGGACAGTTCCAATATCCGTTCGAAATTTTTTGTGGGTAATATATCATCAGACAAATACATGTCGACTTCTTGTATATCTCTCGATACAGGTGTATGTTTAGATGAGTCACGTCCAATTAATTCATCAAAAATACACCATGGACTTAAGTCATCTTTATCAGTTTCTTTTTCTTGTACTGGTTGATTTTCAAGATTTACTAAACTTATGCAAAGACTCGTTTCATCCGTTTTCTATAGGTGAAGAACCAGCTTTTAAAAAGTTTGCAGGGTGGATTCCTGGATATAAACTGCCAACAAGAAAAACTGTCAGGTTCATTACTTCAGGAATGTTATGTCAAAACTGATTTGATAATAGATAAAATAAAAAGTCCCATTTTCGACAATTCTGCAAAAAACACATTTAAAAAAAAAGTACCTTATCTTCAGAAAGGCTTTTAAAGTATTAATTACAACATAACAAAGTTCCCAAACATCCTATCCAAGACGTGGAAACTAGGTAGAACTCCACCTACTGCATGTTCAAAAAATGACCGTGTTAGAAGAGGCAAGCCGTTCCACATCGGTATTAAATAATACAGACTTAGACTTAGACCAAATCTAAATAAATAACACTGGATTATTTGTTCTCAGCTTTCCCAAATTTTACGGCCGTTTAAAGAAATAACAAGTACAATGAGTGACCAAAAATACTTGAAGGGTAGTTCAGTGATTGTTATGGTACGCTGCCTGCAAGAATCTTGCAATAAAATTTTAGCAAACGGTAAATTTAGCAATAAGGTTTAGCA